TCTGCGGTCTTTATCTTCGGTTCACAGAACTGCACTTGTTTTCCTTTCACTAGCCGGGGGTGACTTTTTTCCTATTTCCTTTTACATAACGTCCTACACTTCAGTTTGCATAAGAGGCCCCAAAGTCACTGCTGTCCATGGCATGGGTTGGGGATTTGCTCCTGAGGGTGGAATGAAAGTTGACGTGGGGCTTGGAGGACATGGTCTGTGGGGGAGCTGGTTTGTTTCCTTTCTGGAAAAGCCCATTTCCCCTGGCCAGTGGGAAGGGTTTATTCTGAAAAAGGACTGGAAATTGGAAACACCAAACTCCCACTTTCTGTTTCTGGCTTTACCACCTATCCTCAAGTTCTTTCCAACTCGTGTGAACATGGAGCTTTGATGAGAAACTCCTGGTGATGTCTCCAAGGCTCAGCTCTGCCTTTTCTTTTCTCGTTAACCAGCAAGACTGTTAATTCCCAACAGGCACATGTTCCTGGTGCCTCACAGGCAGGGTTAGTGTCTGCTCCTGTCTTGTGGCTGGTAGCAGCAGCCCTGTAATATCACAGTGCAGAGATGCTGTCGGTGCCGTGTTGTACCTGTCTGTAGGACAGGCGTTTTGTGCAGCTCAACCGAAAGGGAGCAAAGGAACACGACTATCTTGATCATTAAACCAGCTGTTGTCCAGGGAGCATCAGTAAAAGCAAGTTAAGCAGTTGTGCCTCTTCCATGTGTGCTGAAATTAATACCTTTTCCCACTATTTTGTGCCTTTGGAGGCCAATGTGCTAACCTAGGGCACGTGGGACCAGAGCTCTTAAGACCTGGTAATTGTTGGGTAATTGTCTGTGTGTAATGTGTGGGGATGCTGTCGTGCTCATGCTTAATCCTGTGCTTTGCTCCTGTCTTACTAAAACCACCTTTGTGACTGATCTCAAGCACTTCCCAAAGTGCAGATCCCTAGCCAATATTTTGCTTTGCTCATTGGCTTTTGTGGTTTCCCCTCCCTTCAGATGGCGAGGAGAGCCGAAGGCAGAGTCCCTGCTGCTCTGCCTGGCTCTGTGAGGGACCCTCACACCCTTCCTCCAGGCTCTCAAACCTTGGCTACATCTTAGAGCTCGTTATTAAACCTCCGTGTGAAGACGTGGGGCTTGACACCACGCCGAGTACTAGAACATTCACCAGAGAGTAGACGAGTTTATTGCACGGAGCAGGAATTCCTCCCTGCTGTAGTCACAAAAGCTTTGAACCATCTGTGGGAGCTCCAGCAGCCTGGGGCTATCTGCAGTTGGAAGAGGCAGTCCCCAAAACCCAGGCAAGCCATCTGGTGCAGACCTCCCGTTTCAGATTTCAGGGATGAACTCCTGCAGAGTTCACTCACTGCTGCTGCTGCAAACGCTTCTGCTCTGCAGAACTGGGTGTCTCATACCCCTGAGTTAAACATGTGGTTTTTCCTTGTGCCCCTCCATCCAGGGGCCTTTTTTCCTGCTGTATGGAGAGGAGCAGGATTGCACACTGAGCTGGAGAAATCACAGTCCAATGTTCATTTTCTACATCTTCCCTTTTTGGGGCCCATTTTGAAACGTGTCGGATCTCATTTTCTGGGGTGCCAGGTCTTGTCTGTATGAGCTGAGGGAAGGTGCAGATGCTGTAACCATCAACACACTCAAAGTTAGTGCTTTCACATAAAAACTTTGCTGAATCTTGTTGCAGGCATTTAAAGCATTTCCTGGGCCTGTTGTACCATCTCTGTACCAACAGAAGCAACTGTTCACCTGTGTCTCATGCTTAGATGCTTGAGCAGTGATGAAGGAAAGTTTGCATGTGGGTGCTGGGCTGTGGTTGTGCTGACTGAACCTGACTCATGTTCCCTTCTGCTATGAGGGGCAGAAAATTCCAGCAGATGTGTAGGGCAGGCAGTGTGGAGCAGTTACTATTACAGTAATATTTACCAGCGCTTATCTCTTTAGAGACTGTTTTGAAGGCATTCAGCTTTGGCTGACTTGCTGCAAATCCTGGTGTGAGTGCCAGGACTGCAGCGTGGTTGGTGGCTGGTGCATACATAAGTCACAGGTCAAGGTTTTGACTCTCTCTCACCCTGTGTTTCCTCATCTGCAAAGGGAGAAACGTGCCTTTGGTGCAGGTGTTGGAGTAGGACTTCACCGGCTCCATCCTGCTGCTGCTTTTTGCTTCGTTGGTTTTTAACCAACATGTGTGGAATGCACAATCAGCATCTCGGAGAAGCAGCCGTAGGAAAGAGGAAGCTCACACAGAATATAAATAGCCAAATTTTCGAATGTCCCAGTGTAGCAGCTCTCCTGGTTCTTGGCAGGAGCCTGGCTGCAGACCGCTGGGAAGCAGCGTCCTTCGTGTGTGGTTTGCAAAGGGGGAACTTGGGGGGGATATCACACCAGTCAGCAAGGCAAAAACTGAATGAATCTGACAGTCTTGAATATGGGAAGGAAATGAAATGTGCTTCTACGCACATCAAAATGGGGTGTAGCCTCTGCACGTGACCTGAAATGCAGAGTGGAAACCCTGCACAGTTGTGGTAATACTTTCCACTGTAGTTGCACAGCAGCTGCCAATGATTCATGGGTTGATCCTAGGATGTTTTGTCCTCTCGTATGATTTAATTTATTAATTTTACTGCATGTCAACAAGCATCTGATTCTTCTGGATGTTTATGTCTGGGGTTTACAATTGCCCAGCCAAATCTCTTTTTTCTTAGACCGTACAGGGCTCTGGTCCTGCCGGATCCAGGGCTTTCCTCCAGCCCAAAGTCTCAGCATAACTGGGAGATATGCAGGGTGGGACTGATGTGCAGGTTGGGTGATGAGGACTGGGAGAGAGCCCAGGAGAGCTGGTGTGAAGCCCTTTTGGTAGTGATCCCCCTTCTCTGTCACTGCCCCTTGGCCACTGGGCTTGTGCACTCATGAGGCATCTACTCCTGTTGTTCCTGGAGGATGCCACATTGCTGTGGGCACCACAGCAGATAGACCAGATAGTCTTTGTGGACAAAGTAGGAAGTATTTCCATGACATTTCTGTCTTTTTGTTGGAAACAGCATCTAAAGGTGGAAGAAAGACAACTTGGGCTTAGGTGCCATCACTGTAGGTGGTTGGTCCAGAGCAGACACAAAGCTTTAGCCATGCTGGCAGTTCTCTCCCAAGGTTGTACCAGTCCCCCAGGGCAGTGTACTTGAAGATAAATTTATGTCATAATTTATCCCAGAGCACAGAACAAGAGAGGGACAGACACAGGTGTCAGGAAGGACGTCTGTCGGTCTGTCTGTCTGTTGCCTTGTGCAGGTGCTGTCAGGGTTGGTCTGGAAGGCAGTAAATCCTGGGAAAGACTTTTGATGTTCACAGCAGAGCCGAAGTTAGGAGCCTCTCAGCCCCTTGAGCTTCAGCTAACCAAACCTCTCCACAGTCTGGCATGAACTGAGAAGAGCAGGATAAGCAGAAAGTGAGGAAGAAGTCAGTAACCCTGCCCAGGGGGATTCTCTGTCCTCATTCATTACAGCCATGAATGAGAGGCTTTTTAAAGCGTTCCCTTACTCTTTGAGCTGACTGAGCTTCCCTGCCTTGATTCCTTGCTAATACAAGCTTGTGGTTTGAGCAGGGTGTGGTAACAGCACAGTGACCACTGCTGTGATGATGATGCTGGTAGAGGATGGTGGGCAGAGGTGCACGTTTGATGTGTCATGTTTGGTGCTTTCTGCTTATGTCTCTTGAGATGTGCAGCACTGTCTGAAACTAGACCCTAGGGATGGCTGTTCCCATGTTCTCAGAGAGCAGTTTGGGAGGAGTTTTTTGCAGGGAGCAGTGTCACTCCTGGAGCTCCATCCTGGGTTGCCCCATAGCAGTTTCTTTGCGGTGAACCCTGCATTGCTGCCTCCGCTCAGGGTTTTTTGTACTCCTGAGGAGCAGGTTGCAGGGAAAGCCTCAGGCTGACTCTGGCCCTTGGCTGGCAGGGTGATATGCAGGGGAGACTTGTCCCCAAGCCCCTGTGCCCCAGCATGTGGACACCTCCCCCTGCTAACAGGCTTATTGCTTTGGGGCATTTTCTCCATCTGCTGAGCAGTGGGTTTTGCCGTGTGTTCCACCGTGTCCTGCCATTTGGCATGGGGGATGGAGGGCGGGGGAGATCCCCACGGTGTTTAAAAGGATCTGGATAAATCTTCTTAAGAGTGGCACTGACTCAGCAGAGCGTGGTGAGAGAGGAGGAGGAGGAGGAGGA